TACGCTACACACTCAAGCTGCTGCACCAGGGACTGAACCCAACTCTTTCATTCTGCCTGCCTTTCTCGAATCCTTGCCAGGCACTATTCTTAACAAGTGGACGTTGAGCAGTCGAATACGAAGGAAAATTTGCCTAGAAACATGAGGATCAGCAGAAGGAATGTATTACTTCCAAGCCACCAATCACCTATTCCACCAGACAACAAGGTCGTCCACCTCTTGTTCTCATGGGTCTTCAAAAATATCTAAGATGGAGTTGTAGAACCGTTCGAGGTCAGTGACTGTGTCTGTACGTGAGAACACAGGGGGATGAGGTAAGGGCGAATCGGACCTGGAAGGAATGTTCAATCGAGAAGTAAGGATCCGAAAGATAGACTCACCTGCATTGCAATATATGCGACGGACGGCAGAGTAACTCTTGTCATTCTGTGAATTCGGGCATTGCCGAACAAGTGGCCCTTGGTTCTCTATCCACAGAACTGGGGACGTGAAAACGTATTTATATGCCTAAGAATCTTGTGAGTACAAAGAAATCTAGAAGCGAACGTGAAGCTTATATCATACGCAGCTAGCAGGGCGCTTCGAAATAAGCCATTCCACGGATCCTCCAGTCATAATGGTAGTCAGCATATAAGAACAATGGCCATTGGTATCCAGTCACAATCATTTCACCACTTTGTAGCTTGGTTTTCATCCTGGACCCCATCAGTCTTATCCATAGACGAGAGGCATATCACTTACTCTAGGTTTGGACCAGTCAAGGCCAGCAGGACAGAGCAATGCGCCTGTCCATTCATGATGACAACCGCAGTCAATTTTCATGTTGCAAGTAAGAGGAAGAATAAGGCTCTGTCCTTGGGGTGATCCAGTTGAGCACACGCCCTTGAGACTTTTGGTGTCATCACCTCTTGCTCCAGATGCGCCTTTGGTGAGCTGATGATATGTGGATAAGTCGTTAACTCGAGGACGTATAAACCACGACACTTGCTAACTCTGCAATGGGTCAACCTCATCATCTCCACCTTGCATCAACTGCTCTTCCAGGCCTGCTACAGACTTGAGGAGCTCTTGAAAATACGGTGCTTGCGCCGTTCCCTGAGAAAATACACATGATTAGACGCACTGCACATAGCGCTGTAGGAAAATAAAATACTCCGCGGTGAGTTTTCATCTGGAGTCCCTGCCAATTCTCCCATCCATAAAATTCCATTGGTGAGAAGGGCTTGGAAGTTGCACAGAGCATGGATCGTTCACCCAAAATGATTGTCCATAGTGTACCAACGGATCAGTTGTGCTCCTGTATTACAATCCCAGAGCATCAGTAGCAATCACCTGCTGCAAGTATAAAATCATCATGGCCTTTTCCTGGGACCGAGTTGAAGGACATCAACCTGTTTGCGACGTTGGCTGCAAGATTGCTCTTCCTCGGACATGACAAGTGGAATGCAAGAGGCAAGATGAGAATCAGCTCTGAATCTCATGGCCTTGGTGACATTTCAAGTCAAATACATTCAGCTACAGTAGTATTTGGTGCAGTTTGGGGGCGACTCAAATCTGTTTAGTACTAGTGGTCAATGAAATAACGACTTACCACAGCCTTAAGCGGCCAAGCGAGCGCTCTCATTGGTGGAGAGGACTTGCATGGATATTTATTTTAGCTGTGTGCTTGGCCGTATACCTACTCCGCTGGATGGGCGCTGCCAAATATCCCTTGGACTCAGCAAGAATTCCAAACTCGGATTTGTGGTAATCTCAATTCTACTAAGTGCGAGCAAGGCTGGAAATTCGAAGCGGCCCAGGGAAAATGGACAGTACAGACTAAGCAGTGATATGAGTCAGGATCAGGATGCTGAATAGAGGGAGGATCTACCAGCTTACCTCGTTGATCAACCGTTCCTCCGGTCTGGTTTGCCAGTGAGCATTTCCCGTCCTTCAAGCAAAATGCCGCAGCTACGTGATCTCCATTAACTGTGTCCAACGATAATGACCGCCAAGCATTCATCTTGCTTCTCACCTTTTCTGACGCAGCTGGTATAGTCCGCAGTACTTGGATTATTCTCCGAAAGTGGAGATGTGAGGAGCGCGTGTCCGTGGAGGATGCACACCAGCAGAAATGCGCCTTCTGAAGAACGAAGGCAATCCTGCCTTCACTACTGCTTCGGATATTGAGTCTACTTCATTTTCTGGTGAGGACCTTGAAGCTGGTCTGGGGTGACATGAACAAACCAAGACCCACCTGTCTGAGAGTCCACTGATGACAAGTGGCCGGGTATTTGGAATTCAAGGAACCTTGAGTAGTTGCAATGATGGAGTATGTTGACTATGAAGGGTTAATTTCCTACAATGTAAAAGTTACTTGTTCACTGTCATATACCATATATCCGGTTACAGATCCGATGATCCGGATCTCAGATCCAATCCAGATCCGATGAACATATCCGTCGTCCGGTCCACAGATCCGCTTTGATTCTTATTTCATTTCCTGTTCATATAACTCTAACTATCGTTCATCTCCTTTTGGTATTCCTGTACACCGGTATACCGGTTATCCTTTACTTCCGCTTTGCTTACTGATCGCTACACTTATGAATCCGCTTTTACTTGTACTTCATTCTCGGTTCATGATTCGTGATCCATCCGACTTACCAATACGCTCCACTTAGACTTTGCTTATACTTTCGTACATAGCCTCGCACCTTTGCTTATTGATCATTCCGTTAGCTATCCGTAGTATATAAACCTTTGTATATGCACTGTAGTAGATCAGTTCGAATATCATCTTAGATTGCACTCATTCCGTCTGGACTCTAAGTCCCTCCGTTATCCGTCCAGACTTGAGTACGCTACTCTTGTCTACTCCGAGACTTAGGATAGATTCCTATAGTCTACATATCCGCCTCTGTCTTCGGACAGTCCTCACCCGTTAGTTTCTAGTCCGGATCCGATCCGGATTAGCTGTTACTCTATACGTTCGATATCCGGAAGTCTTAACGGATCCGTTGCAATACTTATCCGTTGCGATACAAGACTTATCCGTTACAATACTTATCCGTCTCACTAGACGCGATACTTTAGCTCTCTGAAATAAGGGGCAAGACTCGGGAAAGGGGCACAGCGCACGAGCTGAGGCCGAAGCCCTTCGGATCCGATACTACTTGAGTATGGTCTTAACATTCGCTCACAGTATTCATGAAATCTCCAGCAGCCCCATGTAATGCCCCCTGAGATACCCATTTTGTCGGTATCTGGTCATTTATTGGTGACGAGAGCTTGTTGCCGAATGCAGACTCAGCTGATAGCGTCTGAATGAGGTATGAGAGTGCTCTGAAAAGGCCATCTTGCTCTAAAAATTCATTGAAATATATACCTGCTCGAGAGATAGCTAAAGAAGATGTACACGGCTTATCTTTGATCTCGAGTGAACAGCACAGAAGATATGCAAGGACATCGACTGCTTTATCTGAGTCCAGTAGGTAAGCATGGAATTTCTTAGAGAATGGATCAGACGTCAGATCAGCACTACTGAATAGACAATCTACTTACCTTGCTGAACTCAATGATCTCTCAGAAGAGTGGGGAGAAACATAAAAGATATGTGTACTAGTCTCAGGCAGTCCCGGTAGCCATCAGTTTCGGCTATGTGCTGCAGTTGACAACTTTGTCATTAGTCAAAGTCCAGATGGAAGCGGGCATCACAAACTCACCCTCGTTCTACACAGCTCAGATATTCCTTGGGGGCGACTGCAAAACACCACCAGTGGTGGCGGCTTCGCCTCATTGCTCAATCATAATCGAAAAGGTGCTGTTAGCGTCTATGGAAGTTTGGCGAACATTGCCATGTAGAAATCATCAGCACGATATGCACGAGGTGCGAAGTCAAAGTAAGACTGCCTTGAGAGTCCCCTGTTACTGGTAGGATCAGTGACTTCGAGTTGTACTGTTGACAGTGGACCACGGCAGTGCATGCTTCCAAACTCCCGCAGTTTCAGATAGGCTCAGTGACAAAGTGTAGTGCTGACTCAGAAATCTGAGTTTGAAACCATGAGTTCTGTCAGGACCCGACGTGCACTACTTATGCTTCTAATAGTATGACCTCAACGTCAACTTTCATTAACTTGCAATTGAATCTCATTCGTTGACAAATGATATGACAGGATATGACCTACGTGCACTCTCAGACTAACCAAAGAGAGGGATTCCATTTCATTATCCTCAATGTCCAGCACCACTACATACCAGAAGTCTTCTCCTAAAAAGGGTGCATCTTTAATGAGAGTTATTGCACATGCTTGATATACATAATGAATGTAAACCAGATAACACAGCCGTTGACAGTAGATATTCCACTCCAGACTGGTGATATGTTAGTAGCCCCTCATACCTTCTGAAAACAATTGTTTACTCTGTGACTCTGTGCTTACAGTACGTACAAAGAGAGTCTATGAGATCTCAATTGTAGTGGCGCTGTGACGTATTATTTGTCTTTGATGCTCCAGAACATTCAGTCATTCTGGCTCTGGAAGACCCGGCGGGCCTTTTAGGTTGTTTGCTAATGTCAGCGCGATTCAGCTACAATGCACACATGAGACAGTGGGGGAAGACTTGAAACAAGTTTACTCACAGGTCAGTCAACCAACCACCTGTTCCATCACGAGTAGTGATCCAGGAATTTAATTCTATTGCGCCCTTACTGGTGCCCTGGCGGGCCATCCTGAGCATATGTAACTGGTCGACTGCCTCGTCACACACTTCCATGGTGTGTAAATTGCCAGGGTTGGCGACGCCTGAACATCACAATGTACTGTAGACAGGGGTGAGTGTTAAATACCAAGTTGTCGGCAACAGTACATACCATAGCACATACAGTTGATAGGAGTTGTTCTGGAATTTCATTGTAGTCATCAAAGAACAGATCCAGCACGGAAATGTTACTACCATTGACAACTGGTCGCAATAGTCGCTGTGCAACCGATTTCAATATTGTCAACCTATGATAAGCGTTCTGAAACACTGAATATCAGTTGCATAGTCAGAAAATGTTCATAAAAAGATGATGATACCCCAATGTCATCACGGGTAAAGTCAATCGATGTTGCAACACTTCTGTAGGACGTCAACCCAGTAAGCTCATTGATGTAACCTGGAATCCTTTGGGAGGATTTGCTCAGAAGATTGTAACCTCTGATGGAAGCTCTATCCGATCTGTCGATGTAGGCAGCTGAGCTGGCTTTCAAACTCTTGACGAATGCACATCGCTCGCTTATTACCTGTAGGTATGCTCAGAGCTATGACTACTAGAACAGAACCAGTACAGACCAATCCGATAGCGTCAAATATATTCAAGTCCTTTTGTTGGCCGGTTTGACTGCATTGAAGCCCTGGTATAACATGAATGACTCAACTCAGAGGTAGAGGAGCTTATTCATGTTGGCGCCTACCTTTCTCCAGTGCTTGACCGCAACTCTTCGAAATGGTAACCAACTCTTCTACCACTCGAAGACATCAGTCCTTGTAAGATTGGCTTGTCTCCAAGCCGAACATATTCAAGTAATGTTTGCACCAAGTCCTGGCATCTTGGAGGCACACCCACGTTGCAACGAAGTGCTTCTCCAGATATTCCTTGGTGTACTTGATGCCGATGTGGAACTGTTGGGGGTCACACAAGATATAGCGCCCCTCAACAACATTTGGCATTGTGACAAACATCGGCAGGTGGAATGAGAGTGGTGAGCAGGAGTGCGGGCCCACCATATATATGTGGCGCAACTGCAGGGGGTTGGGACACTGGTAGCGTTTCCGGAGCTAGTGAGAGTTGCCCGAAGCCTATACTAGTGGGATGGGCAAGGGGAGGCGCTTCAAACACAGTTGTGTTATTGTCCATCCATATCCCTTCACTTAGTGAACTGATGGCTGACATGAAGTCTTCGTCACCAGGATCAGCGCTGTAACTCAAGGGGATCATTGCGTCTTGTGGATTGACAACCTTCTAGTCTCAAAAGAATCAATTGTTGCATTTGTTGAAATATTAGATGTAGGTACCTGTATGGTTGGCAGTGTGGCAAATTCTTCATCTGTATACATACACATCTTTTTCCATCCGTCTGGGACAATGGATCCCGTTTGCTGCCAGGGAAACACAAGCAGTGGGTTAGCGGTTCAATCACCCTCGATAGAAACACTTACCGACATCGCAAGCTCATCAGTATTCTGTGAAGAGTCTTAACAGGAATTTTCAAGTAGACTGGGATATGAATACCATGACATATACTGGACGGAAAACAGTCTCCAAGCCCGAAGTCTGTATGATATCTTCCTTTATATAAGCTACTTTGAAGAACGAGTTCTTGACATTGTCAAAGTCGAATTGCTAAAATAGCATCAGTCGACCGAGAATACTATAAAAATGAGAACACACCGGATAGCCAACCCACTCTATAATATCTGAGACATAGTTGTTTGAATTTGATGGGGGTGTGTAGATGTAGCCAACTTTAGGACGAGGCTTGGAGGACATGATGAGTTACTCAGACGGTGAGATGGGATGTTGTACTACATATTCAGTCAGCTTTCTTAAAGTCGGTACTTGCATCAAAAAAGGTCCATGAGTCAGACACGTGTATGATCAAGGAGCCAAGATTCCTTGACAAGGGCTCACAAAATTGAATAGTGTTGGCCAGGTTGTGCACCCATTTTGACCAAAGTTGCCAGCTTATTTAATTATGTGTTGGGAGTGATTACTAATTTGGATTCCTGGCTCAAGATCATTGTACAAATATGAATACTTGTTAGGAGGAGTTCAACATTTGACAAATGATGGTTGGCAGGAGACTTGGTTCTTTACTATCAGTTATTGCAAGTCTGGATTATCGCCGGTGTAGAGACTCGCGTTTCTGCAGGCTCATATGGGCTCATATTACGAATTCTGATGACTGGCCTTTACTGCACAACTCACACCATCATCCACTATGACTTCCACCATCATGCGCACCACTTCCCGTGAAACGCGCCATAGGCGCGATACTTTCCCGTACAACGCGCAGCATTCCCGCGCGCGCGCTTTCTCGCGCTTAAGCGCACTGCGTTGCACATCATCCAGGAGCATCCATCCATCGTCTGACCAGTCCCTCGGTATGTCCCTTTCATTATCTGACCATATTTAGCATATTACACTTCCCATTTCATTATGGACCCTTACTTTACATCACTTTACCTCACTTACATACTTAGAGCGCTCCCTATTCGGCTCCGAGCCCTGGGAGAGCACTTAGGTAGAACTTACATACTCTCATGTTCATTTTACACCCCACTTTTACCAACCCACCACCTTAACTATACCACCTTATCTTACTACCACTCAGTATCTATCACCAGTTAGTTCCATGCAATGCATGTGTCCATCATTGTTTTGAGGCCCTAGCATCAGTCTATAGCTAGTGGGCACTATCAGTATCCGTCTAGATCTGCACTTTTCCCCTTATCAGTCTCAGTATCCGTCGTCTACACTTGTGCACCACTTGCACTACCTTCCTGCGCTCCGCGCACTTTCGCATTCCGCTTTCCCGCGCGCGCCTTCAGCGCATTTCTCACGCTTCCACCGCTATTCACCAGGGTTGTTCAGCATCATTCCATGGATCCTTGCTTTCCTTGCTTCCCCTTTAGGGTCAAATGTTCTTGCATTCTGCGAGTATAGCAGCTAGGCAGAGCTGAGACTCACTTATACTGGTTGAGCACTTTTCTTATATGTGCCTGCCAGGTTGTGATACCCACACCGGCACCAATTACCTCAATAGCCTTCAATAACACCTTCGGACAGTCACACCCATGTTCAATGGGGTAGTGACATCATGTCATGTTCGCTGTCCGCCTAAAGCAAACTCCGGCAGCCGCTCAACAGCTGCGGTGTTCAATACTTATCAGTCAAAATGTCAGAATCATTTCTCCACCAATTTTGACCATTTAACTTCACAGTATGTATAGAATATTATATTGAGGCAGAGTTTTGCAACACTTTAAATACAAAGTGTCGGAAGCAGTGGTCAATTTAACCCTTTACGTATAACTATAAACTTACATGTCCATGCTCGGCAGCTTGCAGTAATTTGCAGATTTGGCAGTAGATCTGAGTCTTGATCATGGGGCTTGGCCTGGATTACTGATTTAGATTTGTAGCTGAAATTCGGAGAGATCCGGTAATCGTACTGTACAAATATGAATAGATAGGTCAGCACTAGCACATCATGGCTCTGTTCACTGTTTCACGGGCTTATTTAATTTACACTTGGAAGTTGGGGGACATTACTGAACTTGGATTTGCAGTTCGAATTGCGAACCAACTATCTGGAGACCAACAATCTAAATGTATGGATATGAATACTGGTTGCAAAGTGTCATGGATAGCAGTTCATTTATGATTGGATTCAAGACTTCTGTGTGACTAGTAATTCTACAACAGATGACGTGGACAACAGGCATTGCAGAGGGTAGGTGTACAGTGTGTGAGCCTTCAGGACAACCCATGAATTTTGCTCAAGTATTTCAAGCCAATCAAAGAGACTTGGGCAGTAACTAAGAAACAAGAACTTCAAGTTCCCAGTGACAATATGTCCTCCACACTTATGCAGCCTACTCTTATACCAACCTCTCCCTGCTTGCCTTGAACATCGTCAAAGCTCACATACTGTTTTGCTGAATCTCGTGGGTAATTCCTGAACAACCAACCTCTTGAATTGTGCTGCCTGGCGCAGCAACATGCCACAATCATGTCCTCACAATGCATACCCCTCTCCACCTATTGCCCACGAAGCTGTGCAAGAACCGCAAACTGTGTGTGTTGTTATTACTAGATACTAAGTAGCATGACCAATGACAATCAACTAGATGGAGTCCTTATGCCTTCCCCCATACTGGGAGACATGTCACGATATTGATCTCACCATTACTCTCATAAGTGCTCAACACTTAGAACGTCGGGCAGAGTGTCGACTTATCCGGAGACGCCTGAAGTGTGTCATGATTGAAAATAAACTCTACAGTCATATAGAACAACAAATGAGTCACAAACTTTGCAAAGCTGACACTGGCGTTGGTATCTCCCGAGGTGCACTGTGCATGGCTGGCCACGCACCTGCAGGCATGATATTTGAGGATGCAGATAGCGATGTATCGAGTGTAGCACCTGATTCAGACATAGATGTATCTTCTTGACAGGACAGGTGTCCCATCGGTTGCTGGTCAGGGCGCGTTGTGAAAGAGAAATAGCGACTAGGCTGGTTAGAAACTAGCGCTACTTATCCTAATAGGCACAAGTGTAGTATTCGACCCAAGAGGACTGCTATTGAAGCAACCCCCTTCTAATATGCAAGGGTAGTGATAGCGCGAAGGACTAATAACCTATAGCAACCTAAGACCAAAAAGCTGATGAGTAGCGCTGTAGCGATCAGCGACTAGCAACAAGTGAGTTCCGACAGAGAAATGTGCGTATAAGTGAGAAGTGCTATGCAAGTTGTTTTATGCGATAGCGCTATGCGACATCCGACTAGCGACAGCGAGAAGAAATCAAAGGAAGCGAAAGCGAGGAGTAAGGTAAGACAGTGCAAGTGAAATGCTTGATAGCGACTAGATTATAGCTCGACTACCGACAGCGATCCCGACGTTGCGAAAGTTGAACTTTAAGAGGGAAACTTTAGCAACACGATCAGAGAGATTGGCAAGAGCGAAATTGATTGCACCAAGACTAGGATATAGTGACTAAAGTGACTCCGACACCAGCAAAGGTCCGGGGAAGGGAAGTACTGTACTGTATGTGTGACGGGTCATTTTATCATACTGCGTAAAAGTTTGGGAATGCGTAGGCGAGAATAGTAGCAACACTGGCGAGGGCACGATGTAGCGACAGGTAATAAGACACGCAGCGCTGCGGAACACGAGGATACATGTAATAAGACCTGCAACTGATCAGTAGTGACAATTAAGGACTAATAACGCACCAGCGGAGGTAGGTGGACATAGGCGGGACATGGGAGGACGGAGTACCTGGGCGTCGGACCGGGGAGCGCGCTATGGGAGAAAAGTGGCTCCAAAGCGGATAGCTTGGGAGCTGAATAGCGCTGGTGACCAGTGCCTTACTCTTTTCCTCTAAGCAAGGCAAAATATGCCTATGACACTCATATGCGCCTAGCGCTGGTATGATTGTCACAGTGTACTATAACATTTTTCGCGTTGACATGGTGTACATTTGTTCTCCTTTTTGTACCTTAGCCTTTCCTGCCCCCATCTTGAAGTACTCAGTTTTTTGATATATATATAATGTATATATGTCATTATTCATTGCAGAGCCACAATCTGATTGTTAGTATGTGCTATGTTTGTGAACGAGAATTGCGACAACTGATAGTATGTCACATATGACCGGTATGACTGTTGATCAATTGATTAGGTGTGCACATGTAAATGAAATATTGTGTTACTAATAGACGTCGCTTGTAGTCAGATCAATGATATCCACATCCCCTTCCTTCTCTTGTCCTACGCAGTCATGGCACTCAAACATGCGCCTCGTCATGATGAGCTTGCAGCAATTGCATTTTGTAAGGAAACGACGGAATTCGTCTTGCGTGAGACCGGGTCGGGTGAAGGAATCTAGTTTCATAAGCCTCTCAAACGTTGTGTGAGTGTCATTTACTCAAGGCTGTCGCCTTTCAATAACATCCGCCAGTTCGATGTCTACAAACAAGCATCAATTCACTGCACACTGACTCGTCCTAGCTTGCTCATATACATACCATTCCCATCAACAAACAGAATGTCTAGTGGCCTGGCTTCGTCAGGGCCTGCGTTATGAAGAAGCACGTTAGCTCAATGGTGCTACTAATGGTTGACATCTTGACAGAGGTGTAGCTCACATCATCTTGGGTAACACTTGACAGGTAACCCGATTGAACTATGTAATTTCTTGATGAAAGCTGAATGAAATTATTCATCAGGCAATCTGAACAGGTCACGGCTGTCTAGCATGGGGGTGACTCACCAAAATAACCACACTTGCTTGATGCACAACAGGCAAGGTACTCTCCTGCATTTGGTCCCCGAGTTACCATGACTATTGCCACTTTACGGTGGTTACAAGGATCATGTTCATCTAAGAGCAAGCATAGGCAGTGTGGTCCTTGGAATTGGTGAGATTTGTGATACGCTACAAGGTCAGAAGGAACGACGCGCTCTCCGTCATCCTTAACTGGCCTGGATCCATGCAAAAAAAGTGGGTAAGACATCTAAGATATTCATAACTTGGCTAACGCACCAATACCACACACACAGTGTTTTGCCGGTTTCATCCAGTTCGAGCACGGCATTCTTCTGGTTGCTGACTAGAGCTGCAAGCTTCGTTCGCCGATGCTCTCGCTTAAGTTTGTCAGCTGCAATACTGGCGCGTACACGATCAGGAGCCATAGTATGCCTGAAGGTCCAACTTGTGCAACTGCTCTGAGTCTCACTGTCCTCAGGGCTTTTATACTATTTCATGTGTTTACCTACTGCCAGTGCATAGTCGGTCCTGTTTTACAGAACTCTGGGTCTATGTCCTAATTGAAATTTGTAGGCTGTTTACGTTCATGTTTCGAAGCTTTCCTGAACCCTAAGTGAGCGCTCTAGTTGTATTCACTTCCACAAACATAAAACAACACAGCATGATTGGGTTTCTCGGGACACAAGCAGCCTGAGACCACAAGGCGCCTTGTCAAACTTTCCCATACCACTTCCAGGTGACCGTAGCGATACTGCTGCTGGTTGGATGTGCTTCACTGACTTACAATGAATGGCTTGTTTCCATCCTCAGAAACCTCTTCTGCGACTCCGGAAGGATACTCAACTATTTGCCCTTGTGGACAAAGCTTTGCTCAGCTAAACGCATATGCAAACCATCAAAGGACCTGCAAAAAAAGGAAGAAACATCTTTCCAGTGCACTAGCCAAGGCGAAAGAGGTGTGGACCACAAGAAAAAGGCCATGCCTTGAAGGCCGACATAACATGATGGCCAAACTCATTTCCTCCTCAACATTTCACCAAGACGTGGCAATTTGGACGTCACATGGGCCAGCAGGAGAAAGCGGGGCAAGCCTGGGGCTGGATCATGGGTATGCCAGCTCAGAATTTAGCTCTGATGAGACTACTGTCGGCGGCGTAGAGCATAATCCAGGATCTGGACCAGGCACTGGAAATGAAAATGATGTGAGTGTTATAGGGTTGTTAAAAGTCCTGCTTTTCACCGAGATTGAAACGGTCTGTTAGGATGGGTGCAGTCCTGCAGAATCTTCACATGTCGTTGATGATGGACAGTCACTGGCTGAGCGTCACCCAAGATGCCTTGATCGTCATCTGCCTGCGTGGTTTTGAGATATTCTTCCTCAACCCCCACTCCTGCCCATGGCCAAGCTAGCCCTACCACCAGTGGCAGATCCCCTGCCCACTTCAGATGCAAGTACACTGCTGTCCCGCAGACTTCGCTTCTTCTGCACATTTCCTAACATATTTGGACTTTTACATCAGTACTACAGCAATCACCTGCCAATGCACGACCCAGAAGAGGTTGTAACTCTGAAGAACCTCACTCTGATGCATTCAGACCCAGAATGTCTCGATCTCAGTATGCCCGCTCCTATAACACAGCATGACAGCTTGGAGGCCCCAGACACCTTCTATCTGTACCCAAATAAGTCCTCATTTCTCCTTGGTGATTGGCTTTGGAATGGGGGTATCCAGAAGTCGCAAAAGAGCTTCATGGAACTCTTATGGATTATCGGTGATCCTGAGTTTCAGCCCGAAGATATCCATACCACGCGCTGGAACTTTATCAACCATCAGCTTGGATCTACTTTGGAAGATGCAGTGGGGCGCACACTCTTTGAAGGTGCTGGATGGAAGAAGAACCCAATCAAGATTAAAATACCTGTTCACAATTGTGCGGATGGCTCAGGCATTCACAATTACCTCACCACAGAATTTTATCATCGATTGCTGGTATCCGTCATCAAGGAAAAGCTTGGAAATAAAAAGCATGACCGACTCTTCCACTACCAGCCCTACGAATTGCTTTGGAATAACGAACAGTCTGAAACACCCATTCGTGTTCATGGCAAACTCTATACTTCCAACGCCTTCATCCAGGCACACCGTGAACTTCAGGAGTCGCCACCAGAGCCTGGGTGTACCCTAGAGCGTGTGATTGTCACCCTCATGTTTTGGTCTGACTCAACCCACCTAGCTTCCTTTGGCAATTCAAAACTCTGGCCCTGCTATATGTTTTTTGGGAATGAGTCGAAGTACAGAAGGTGCAAGCGGAAAGCCCTGTTTATCCACCTGATACGTATTCTCAGCGCTGCTGGCAAGAGTGATGGACTGGTGCATGAGCTTGACCGTCGGTAGGTTTTGTTCAATGAGCCTGTGTCTACTCTGAACAACGGAGTACTTAAGCTACAGACTCATGCCCACCTTTGGACGTGATACCATTCGAAAGTTTGCTTCAAATACATCTGAAATGAAGAAGATGGCTGCTCGTGACTTTGAAGACATTCTTCAGGTAAGGTTCGACTTTCTTTTTAACAGCTCTCCATGATGCATATGCCTTCAATCAGTGTTCCATCCCGGTATTTGACGGCCTCCTGCCAGAGCTGTTATGAACTAGGATGGTTCTGACGTTTGGCTACTCGATAAGAGTAATCGGCCAAGGTTGGTTCAAAGCTTCAGTATATGCCGAAGTTCAATGGTTCACTAAGACAAGACAAGAAGAGTATCCTTGACTTGAATTGAGTTTCAGACGACTTAAGATTGGAGGTCTTAAGCGAAGGAAGTTCCAGGTAAAACCTAGTAAGATTAAAGTAAAGAACTATGTAGTACAAAGCGAGTTTATATAGCAAAAGACAGTGGCTTTAGGGCTGGCATGACGAAGTCAGAATGAGTCAAAGATAAGAGCGAGTTAAAGATAACAAGAATAGATCACCTAGCGACGGCATGACGCGATCGTGGCATAATACAACTGATAATAAGAGAAGTCTAGCGATGGCTTAAGATAGCGATCGTGACATAATACAAAGTAAGAGGAGAAAATGAATAGGGGCGTACTTGATTGTAACATTACCCCGTTGTTATCGTTGAAGTCACCGATTTCAACAATCAAAATTATCGTAAGCGTCATAGTTGTCATGATCTCCTGCACATTGAGAGAAAAGTCTCTCGTCTTCTTCGACGGAGATTTGTTCCATAGCGGTGTCCTTATCAGCCTCCCATTTAGCGAGTGCCTCATAGAAGCCGTTATCCGTCCATACTAAAGGAAGCGGCTTTTCACCTTTAAGTTCTTTGCAAAAGACGGATAGATGTCCTGGCGCGAGATTATGACATACATGGCAGAAGTAAGTGGGACAATGCTTGTGATGGTGACCAGTGGTACCACAGTTACGACAAAGAAAGTTATTGTGGCTTTCAGTCTTTACGATGGTGACCGATGATGTTTGTGGAGGTGGAGATGGTGTCTTAGAGCGTAAGGTGTTGTTACGGGAAGTGGGGGAGACGGAGATCTCTCGCTTGGATGGTCGACAGCGAGTGGGACGTATGCAAGGAGTTGTTGCCGCCGGGGCAGACGTAGTAGTAGTTGATATGACCGGTATAGCAGGAGGAGTGATAATATTAGACGTATGCTCAACGGGAGTTGATATCTCAATCGGAGGTGGAACGGGAATTGCGACATGTGGGGATGGTGGTCTAGCGATTGGGTTTGTTGCAATTTGTTCAGTGACGATATGGATTGCCTCTCTAACAACCGCTTTGGTAGAGGAAGGCATGAGATGTATCGCAGTATTGCGAATGCGTATATGAAGGTGACGGAAAATAGTCTCGAGGCGTTCGTCATTAAGAAGTCCTGTGGTACGCTTGACAAGATTGGCGGCACGGATGATGTTAATGAGAAGAGTGCTAGAGAGAGCTCCTTGTTCAGCGAGGAGGCGGTCTATCTCGATAGTGTATTGTTCAGAAAGGAGAGCGGATTCAAATAACGTGTTGGTCTCGATGCCGTCAAGGATGGTGAAATAGTTTGGGGATTCAATGGTCTCGGTCAATGTGACAGACATTGTAGATGGGGAAGCAGCAAGACTTGCAGACATATTATCAATGGTGTTGGTGATGGTTTTGGGTTGCAGGAGACAGATGTGAAGAGTACGGAGTTCTGAGAAAGACATCTTTTCGTGACGATTCTTATAACTGGTGAGCTTTCTTATAGGCAGCGAGGATTGCAGAGGCATTGCCGAGGTTTTCTGTGGGGATCCATTCGTTGCTGGCGGAAGAATATCCTTTCCAGGATACGAGATAGCGTCTTCGTTTACCCGTGCCTTTGTGTGATAAGATTGCTTCGACTTCGTATTCTTCTTCGTTATCGATGATATCGGGCGGAGGATCGGGGAAGTCAGGACCGTGTATCTCTGTTTCGTGATAGGATGATAGTTTGGAAGCATGGAACGTGGGGTGAACTTTCCATTGCGCGGGCAACTGGAGTGTGAATGTGATCGGTGATAATACTGCAATGATGGTAAAGGGGCCGTATCGTTTTGGAGCAAGTTTTCATGATGGTAACTGCGTGATAAGGTTCTTTCCTGATAACCAAACCTTGTCACCGATTTTCCATGGTTGATACTTCTTCCCATATGATCGTGCAGCCATTTGCTGCATGGCGAGATTATGACAAGAGATAGCTTCTTCGCGTATCTTTTGTAGAAGGCGGAGTCATTCTTCTGCGGCTGGTACAGTAGAGTCTGGGAGTACATGAGGGAGAGCCTGTGGCTCGTATCCCATCATAAGGAAGAATGGGGATGCGTTGCGAGAGTCGTGTTTGCGGTGGTTGTGGACGAATTCAGACATGGGGATATGTTTAACCCATTCTTCTGGGTTATTGCGGCAATAGATTTGGAGATAGGTTTCTAGTTCTTGGTTTAGACGTTCAGGTTTGACCGTCTGTCTGTGGATGATAAGCGGTGGAAGCGGCGATATCGTATTTCAAAAGTTTAGCAAGAGCTTTGGAGAACTTGGATACGAATTGTGGCCCTCAATCTGAGATTACTTTCTCATGGAGTCCAAAGCGGCGATAGACGTATTTGAAAAATTTCTTCGCTATGCCTTCTGAGGTGATGTTTTTTGTGCAAGGAATGAGAATTACCCCCTTCGTAAGCCCATGGTCTACCATGACCATGATAGAATCAAAACCACTGCATGGTGGCAAATCAGTGATGAGGTCGACGGACACTTGGGAAAAAGGCGTAGAAACCCAGGAGTGGATGGGGACGAGCGGAGGGGTGGTAGGATGAGTATCAGATTTCATTTGCTGACAAAGGGTGCAACCCTCAACATATTTCCGGATATAAGTTCCCATGGAAGGCCACCAAAAATCGCGTTTAACCAGTTCTTTGGTT